CACAACGTCTTTTAAACCGTTTAAAACAACTCGTTCGAACTTTTTCCAGAACCGAGCCGGACCACAACCGGACCTCCGTCCGTTTGGGCCAGTTTAAACAGAAAACAGCGTTTCCACAGCTCATCAGCTTAGCTACACATAACAGACGTACAATTTCAGCTTTCACAAGACATATGACACTATTTCAGCTTCCTGTGAGCTTCCTGAGCTTCACAGACCAACACGCTTAAAACATGCAGCGTTTTGACTTCAAGCGGTGCAGCAGCTTAAGCTGCGTTTCTTCACAGCTGATAAACTGTTACTTTTCATGCCAACACGTAAAATTCAATTTTTACACGAATATACAGTCATTTATGAGCACGTTACGGGCCACCAAATGTAGTATGTCATATGCTGGATATATTCATACTTTTTCACGAGTTCCTCATCTTTCTGACTGTGTAAATGTCGTGCATTGAATTTAACAGAAATGCGAACGAGAGACGTTATTATCTTTGACCCATCAAATGAATGCGGTCATTTATTTTCAGAATCAAAGTTTAACATCAAACATTTACATTAATTTGGCAAAATACGAAAATAATAACAAACAAGTTTCACAGATAATGGACTTCAATCACACGGCGGTGATTGAGGACTTTGCTTCAGATATCTCTAAGATATCTGTACTGATTTTATGAGAAAGGAGAGTTTAAGATGAAATGGAGATTTATCTTACAGAGAGATTTGTGAGGGAATTAATCTGTTTGACCAGAAACGTGCACGCTCCTTCAGATCTCAGCTTGCGACGGTACGCTTGGTCGAAGTAGAACCGTTACCTGGTTGATGATATATCAGCGTCGGTATAGGATCCTTCCTTGACTCTTTCAGCGTCTCCGTTGAGAGCAGCTGAAATCCTTCGAGAGTCGTGCGAGGTTATTCAAACAGAAGTTATAATCCCAAAACGTCTCTGGATCATCCTGAATGCGTTTGCATCCAAGAACTCTGAACTCCTTTCATCTCCTTAGCACTCTCTATCAGACTTCCTCCATCAGACTCTTCAGCACTCTGTGTGGAACTCTCAGTGCTCTGCAGCATCAGCACTCTTTAGAACCGGGAAGTTGCCGCATTTTAAATGAGTTGACTTCCGGGTCAATTTAGAGCTTTCTGATTCGTGGATGGACCAGAATAGAGGTGTGTTTTGTGACGTAAGATGTTATCAAAAGTCAAGGGCAGAGAATGAGATTGCTTAAAAGACAGAAAAGATTATTGGAGAAACACCAGACTTCGTGGAGTCAAACTCCTATTATCTTCTGAAAAAGTTTAAACATGACATTTCTTCTCAGTAAACATTTTAGTTGACCGAGACTCGACCTTTAACATACTTACAAAACTTGCTCATTGAAGACAGAAAATCAAGAAATGCATATTAACCTGATTTCTTCTTTGAATGAGGAATAAAAATCATTACTTACTGTTTATGTAAAATAAAAATGAGTAGTTCTCTTCAACCTGTAAACATTGAGTGAACTAACACAATTTGATTATCAAACATTTGTACAATAGTAATGATCATAGAGAATTGTCTTTTCTACTTGATTGATTCAAGAAAGAAAGTCACCAGATGGCTCAAACTGTATTTCTGGATGCAGATCAATGAAATAACAGTCTCTGTCCATCCGGTCAGTTTTGACATAGGCCTAGTTCACTACAGTGTAGTGACACGAAGTTTCCTTCTTGGATATGAACCAGCTCTCATTCCTTCAGTAATGAACACACACTACATGACCAAAAGTATTTGCTCACCCATCCAAATGATCAGAATCAGGTGTTCCGATCACTTCCATGGCCACAGGTGTATAAAATGAAGCACCTCAGCATGCAGACTGTTTTTACAAAGATTTGTGAAAGAATGCGTCGCTCTTAGGAGCTCAGTGAATTCCAGCGTGGAACTGATAGGATGACACCTCTGCAACAAATCCAGTGGTGAAATTTCCTCGCTCCTAAATATTCAACTGTCAGCTGTATTATAAGAAAATGGAAGTGTTTGGGAATGACAGCAACTCAGCCACAAAGTGGTAGGCCACGTAAACTGACGGAGCGGGGTGATGCTGAAGTGCTAAAGTGCCCTGAGACAGCTTTGTGGTGGTTTGGCGCTATATAAATAAACTGAATTGAAAAACTGAATTGAATTGAAGTGCATAGTGCGAAGAGGTCACCAACTTTCTGCAGAGTCGATCACTACAGGCCTCCAAACGTCATGTGGCCTTCAGATTAGATCAAGAACATTACGCAGAGAGCTTCATGGAATGGGTTTCCATGGTCGAGCAGCTGCATCCAAGCCATACATCACCAAGTGCAATGCAAAGTGTCGGATGCAGTGGTGTAAGACACGCCGCCACTGGACTCCAGAGCAGTGGAGGCGCGTTCTCTGGAGTGAAGAATCATGCTTCTCCATATGGCAACCTGATGGACGAGTCTGGGTTTGGTGGTTGCCAGGAGAACGGTACTTGTCTGACTGCATTGTGCCAAGTGTAAAGTTTGGTGGAGGGGGGATTAAGGTGTGGAGTTGCTTTTCAGGAGCTGGGCTTGACCCTTAGTTCCAGTGAAAGGAACTCTGACTGCTTCAGCATACCAAGACATTTTGGACAATTCCATGCTCCCAACTTTGTGAGAACAGTTTGGAGCTGCCCCTTCCTCTTCCAACATGACTGTGCACCAGTGCACAAAGCAAGGTCCATAAAGACATGGATGCAGAGTCTGGTGTGGATGAACTTGACTGGCCTGCACAGAGTCCTGACCTCAACCTGACACAACACCTTTGGGATGAATTAGAGCGGAGACTGAGAGCCAGGCCTTCTCATCCAACATCAGTATGTGACCTCACAAATGTGCTTCTGGAAGAATGGTCAAAAATCCCCATCAACACACTCCTAAACCTGTGGACAGCATTCCCAGAAGAGCTGAAGATGTTCTAGCTGCAAAGAGTGGACCAACGTCATATTGAAGCCTATGGATGAGGAATGGGATGTCACTTAAGCTCATATATGAGTGAAGGTAGGTGAGTGAATACTTTTGGAAATATAGTGTATCACCTACACCAGCATCTCTTCAAGTGAAACATGTTTCAGCTGCTCCCATCCACCTCTAGGGGTTTCATACAACAGCAGCACACTTGTCACCAGTAAACATGCTGTGTGTGTAATGGTGTTTTTACTGACCCAAATGGAATCCACGATGCTCTCGGTCAAAGCTTTGCGGGTATCCCAGCTGAAGATCTGGTGCTCCGAGTTGTCCTCCACCTCCCATTTACTCAAGCTGGAGGTGGTCAGTGTGTACAGGCCACTGGTTCCCGCCACCCACAGAACACTGTGCAGCTGAGGACACAGGATGAGACTGTCATTAAGAGGTGGTCCTCTGCTTATTAAAAACCAGTTCTTTGCACTGGTCTCACCAAGGTCTGAGGTACAAGGAAGGTAGGAAGTATATATTGTACATCCTGATACATGCTCAATAATCCAGGTAGAAAAATGCAAAAAAGTTCAATCTGGTCCTCTGGACATTCAAAAAACAAGAAAACAAAAAACAAGAAAACAAAACAAAAAAAAACAAAGCAAAAAAAATGCAGAAACGTTTCGTCTCTCATCCGAGAGACTTCCTCAGTCTGAGGTGCTGTATTCAGCTGAATACAGCACCTTTAGCAATGACCTTTTGTGTCTTGTCCTCCTTGTGCAAGGTGTCAATGGTTGTCTTTTGGACAACTGTCAAGTCAGCAGTCTTCCCCATGATTGTGTAGCCTACAGAACTACAAACCGGATTCCAAAAAAGTTGGGACACTAAACAAATTGTGAATAAAAACTGAATGCAATGATGTGGAGGTGCCAACATCTAATATTTTATTCAGAATAGAACACAAATCACAGATCAAAAGTTTAAACTGAGAGAATGAATCATTTTAAGGGAAAAATATGTTGTTTCCAAATTTCATGGCTTCAACAAATCCCAAAAAAGTTGGGACAAGTCCATTTTTACCACTGTGTGGCATCCCCCCTTCTTCTTACAACATTCAACAGACGTCTGGGGACAGAGGAGACCAGTTTCTCAAGTTTAGAAATAGGAATGCTCTCCCATTCATGTCTAATACAGGCCTCATTTAATTTAACCCAACATGTAAATGCTCCCACCCAACAACACGGTCACACTCTGGATCTCATTTTAACACGTGATGTCTCTGTTTGTAATTTGGTAATCGGTGACAACGTTCTCTCAGACCACATGCCTATCTTGATTGATATCATCCCGCCTTGTCCTACTGCTAAGTCATGTGATTCTGCACGTACTTCACACGCCATTAACCGTTTCACTGCTGCACGTTTTACTGAAACTTTTAGCTCTGAGAGGATCGATCAGCTCTCAGTGTCTCTCTCCACCGAGGAGCTAACCTCTCAGCTTAACTCTGTTTGCTTAAATATTCTGGACCGTGTTGCTCCCGTTAAAACCAGGAAAACAAAACTTTTATCAGAACCATGGTTTAATGACGTCACTCAAGCCGTTAGACAGCAGTGTAGGAGAGCAGAACGCAGATGGAGGAAAGACAGGCTGCAGGTTTCTTCTCAAATCCTAAAGGAGAGTTGGCGTCATTATCAGAAGGCAGTTAAAGCCGCCAAATCGAAGTTCTTTTCTGCAATAATTGCCTCAAACTCCCACAACCCCCGAGCCCTTTTTTCCACCCTGAACTCAGTTCTACACCTCAATGAACCTTCACCTCTAGAAGCCTCAACTGAGCTGTGTGAAAACTTCCTCCATTTCTTTTCTGAAAAAGTTGCAAACACCCGGGCACTCATTTCTCCACCTGCTCATGATCCGTCCATCCCATCTCATTGTGTTGCTGTTCTTGACCACTTCGAGCCCATCTCTCTGTCTTCCCTGGAGCAGGTCATGTGCAGCATGAAGCCATCTGGCTCCCCTTTTGACGTTGTCCCCCCTCGACTCCTTAAGGAGCTTCTTCCTGTTCTGGGCCCTCCTGTTCTTGGCATTGTGAACAGCAGCTTAGCCTCAGGTGTGGTACCAATAACTTTTAAACATGCTGCTGTCCAACCTCTCCTGAAAAAACCTAGCCTTGACCCCTCAGTCATGTCCAACTTCCGGCCTGTCTCCAGACTCCCATTTGTCGCTAAACTGCTGGAAAAAATAGTGGAGTCCCAGCTGAAATGCTTTCTAGAGGATAATGCCATCTTAGAGCTATTCCAGTCTGGCTTTAAACCTCTCCACAGCACTGAAACTGCTCTACTCAAGGTTTTTAACGACATTCTCCTATTCACAGACGCTGGTGATTCTGTGCTCCTTCTCTAATGCCCCTTTTCCATTAGTACCGGTACGGGCCGGTACAGCCCGGCTCTACTCTACTCGGTACGGTACAGGTTGTGTTTCCATTATGCTTTCAGTACCGGTTCCAGTGGGCGGGGTTCAAATTGACGTCACGGCCTCTCACCAGCTGGTGGCGCTGAGACGCAGAAACTGTTTTCAGTACAGGTTGAGAATTTATGTTATTTTGAAGTTGTGTGTATGTATGTATGCATGTATGTGTGTATGCATGTATACATGTGTATAAATATATATATATATATATATATACACATATATATATATATATATATTTATACACACACACACAAATATATATGTACACACATATGTGTATATATTTATGTGTATATATATATATATATA